AGGCCCTCAGCAAATATGAGCTCCTCTCTCTTAGGTCCTCATCTCTCATATTCCTCCCTATCCAACTGTCTCCCCTACAGGGGTGGGGGAGAGAGAGAGAGAGGGAGGGAGGGAGAGAGAGAGAGAGAGAGGGAGAGAGAGAGACAGAAAAAGCTGTGCCGAGAGAGAGAGAGACAGCACCATCCTGCTGTCACCCACTGGAGCCTAATTGTCCCTGCTGCCCCTCCACGAGGTCCTGAACACCCTCCCGCCCCCTGTCTGCCTGGCTCTCTCCCTCTTGCCCCGGGCCCTGCCTTTCCGCTCCTCCTTGGCTTCATTAATGCTTCTCTTCGCCCCCCTGGTGCCTTTTGTTTTAACAGAACACCCGCGCAGCCCCTGTCCAGCCCGCCTTCTCCACGATGCACTTCTCCCAGGCTGCCCGCTTCCCGCACAAGCCCAAGGGGCGCAAACCACAAGTGAGTTAAACATAGAGAGTCCGGGAAGCAGAGCTGTTAGCAGGAAGGACAGAGGGTCCGAGAGGCTGGTTCCAGCCAGCAGGCCAGCCGGGGCCTACAGGCCCCACCAACAGTTCCCTGTCTCCCTCCACCAGGCCCCCAGAGTGGGGACCCCACAGTCGTCCTTGGTTCTTCCCTCCCTCCCTTCATCTCTCTCCAGAGCACCACCACCTCACCCTTCCGAAGCCACTGCCTTGGTCCAGGCCACCTGACCCCTCAGCACGAGGACCCTGGTCCAGTTCCCCACTCCCCTCACACCCACCCACTGCGGCAGTGACCTTCCTATAAGCCAATCTGCTCGCATCCTCTCCCTGCTTAAAAATCCTAAAGGCCCCAAGTCCTTCTAAAGAAAGCCAATCCCCCAGCAGGACGTGTGGTATCCTCCCCAGCATTGCCCAAGCCCATCTTCTGGCCTCAGCCGTCCCCCATGAAGCTCACCCAGCCTCCACTGCTCACTCGAGGCTCTCTGGGGCCACTAGGCTTTTGCACATGCTGTCTTGGTGCTGAAGGCACCCTTTGCCACCTCACCCGCAGCCAACCCCTAATGGCCCTTCAATGCTCTGCTTAAATGTCTCTCCTTGGGAGCATCTTCCCTGCCTGGCAGATCACTGGATGCACCCCCACCCTATGTCCCCATGGACTTTGTACGTGTCTGTGCCGTGCCAGTCATGACGTCCCCATGTAACTCTCCTTACCTGTCTGTCCCCATCACTCCACCCACTCCTTCCCCATGCCCATGAGCCTTGCAGGCTAGGACTGTGGCTTGTTCAGTTGTGTGTCCCCAGCACTCTGCACAGTGCCGGGTGAGCAGGAGGGACCGGGTAAGTAAATGCCGAGTGTGGTTTGCACAGCCAGTAGAAGAAGAAACCAATCAGGGCAGGAAGATCAGTCTGTTGGTGGGGACAGAGTCCAGAACAGGAAGGGGAGCAGGACCTGGCCCCCTCTTTGGCTCCAGAGCAGTGGGTGGGTGGGAAGGGATGTCTCTCCACCCAGCCTTCCTGGGGCCCATCACTGCCCTGCTCGGGCACCCGCCTCCTGCCCCGCTGACTGCAGGACTGGGGAGCTCCGGGGAGCCCTGCAGGGCAGCCCGACTTGGGCCCTGGCCTGGGCAGGACAGGGTGCGGGGGACACAACCAGACAGACTGGGCACCATGTTGCATTTATCCCCTGCTACCTGGGCGAGCTTGGGCACGTTGCTTAGCCCTTCAGAGCCTGGCTGCCTCCCTAGGGAAACAGGAGCCGGGATCGCCTCCCTCGTGAAGCACTGAAGGCCGAGCCCGGCACGCGATAGGCGCTCAGTAGATGCTAGTCTTCACCTTCCGGGTGTAACGCGGCCCTGAGCAGTGGGAGCTAAGGGAAGCGGGCGGGTCTACCTCTGACTCGTCCTCCTCTCCCTCTGGAGGAGCCAATGCGCATGTCCCCTCCTCCACCCCGGCCCCGCCCCCTCCTAACCAGAGAGCACCTGGGAGGGCGGGGACCTCTGGGCGCCTCGGGCTCAGGAAGGTTAGAGGGGACAGGACGGAGGCGAGGGGGAGTCAGGGGAGGCATTTCTGACCACAGTTTCTGCCGTGGTCTCACGCTCGTGTGGCACCGACGTCCACTGCCATTTTGACTTGCTCATCCCTTCCGTCTCCAGGGATCAGGCCGCCAGCTCAGCTCCCATTTTAAGTCCCTTGCTCTCTCTTGGGAACCTCTTCATTTTGCATCTTCCTGTGGGTTGAAGGGAGGAGGCAGGGCCAGGCATCCGGCCTCTCCTATAGGGAGGGTGGGGCAGACCCCTGACCCTCTCCTTGGCTGTGGTGCTGTGGGGGTGGGGGTGGCCCTGATGAGTTGGGAAACTCCCTGAATCGCACTTGTGGGCTCAGTCCTCCGCCGTCTGTGGGCGGCCCCAGAAGAGCGAGGCCTCACATTCAATGCCTCCTGCCAAGTGAGGCTGTGCTGGAGACGCTCCCTGAGAAGAAAGATGGGCCAGAGTGCAGCCATGTTTCTTCTCAGAGGAAACCTTTGCCCCTGCCTCGTCCCCTTGAGAGAAGCACGCCTATCCTCCAATTTTGGGGGGCTGCTCGGGGCCAAGGGCTGTTAGCCGCTCGATTAACTCACTTCAAAGGACTGTGTTATGTGGTGCCCTCTGCTGGCAGGTGGTGGTCTTCACGTTCGTGAGGGCTGGTTACAATGCAGGTTTCTTTCCTCCAGAAGGAAAGAGTCAACCACGCCGTGTTGAGCGCCCCTCAACATATGTGCCCGGTAAGTCTGGAAGCTCTGGTCAGGTCACAGTGCCACCGCGAGCCCCTTCACCAAGGACTGATTTCTGGTCTGAGAGTGGAGGAGAAAACAGTTTAGCAAGGGGATGGGGACATTGGGGCCAGGCCCTCATCTCAGGAGACATGGAGTGACCCTGGAGAAGGCTGGACTCAGCCAGCGGCCCCAGAGGCAGGTCCCCTAGGGACCAGCAGGAAAACGGGTCCTTCTGTCACTAGGAGGGGAGTGCTGTGGTCCAGCATCTGGGGAGGAGGCCCTGGATCCTGAGGAAGAGCCCAAGGGTGTCACTGCTGCTCACAGGAGTGAGCTGCTGCTCCCCCTCCTGCCAGTGCTGAGCAGACGGGAGGCCTGGAGTGGGTGGGGCTGCCTGTGCAGAGGTTGAGGGGAAGGAGGCTATGATGGGGTCTGGGAACATGGCAAGAAGTCTGACCCTGGCTGACGAGAGAAGGAAGGTGATGGAGAATCCAAGGGCTGAAGCCTCACGACCTCAGTGTCACAGCGGAGCATCCCCTCTGGAATGTGTGGGGCCCATGTGTGTGTCACTCCCACACTGAATTTCCTGGTCTCTTTTCCACAGAATCCTGCAGTCCCACCTCCGGCATATCCCAACCCAGCCTACGTGAGTGTGCTCCAGGGAGGGCGGGGTTGTGGTTTGCGGTGGGCAGGGCGGGAGGCGAGGGGCAGTGACAACAGTGAGGCATCCTCCAGTGGCTGAAGTTCCTCAAACACCCGAGTAAACGAGGAGACTATTGACATGAGCTTCACCTTTAAAACTGTCCCTTCCCCCATGAGCATATATGCGGCCTCCCCTTTCAGCCCACTGTCCTGTCGTGTCAGGCCAAAGGTCTTTTCATGACAGTTTAAGCCCATTCATTTGAGGGACGCTGGGAAGTTTTCATGTGACGTTTACTGAACCAAGTAAAGATATCATGGAGTTCTTTCTTGAAAATATATTACTCACAGGCACGGTTGTCAAACTCAGTTGACAGTCCAGATTTATAGAAATTGGCACGAAGGTCCCCCTGCAGTGGTGCCTGCTCTGTCTGCTGGGGCTGACCTGGCCCTCTCCTCCCCACAGCCGCTGCCTTTCTTCACCGGCATCCCTGGTGGGCTGTACCCCTCCAAGAGCATCATCGTGTTTGGCACCGTCCTGCCCAGTGCTCAGAGGTAAGCCAGGGCTCTCGGGGAGGAGAGACGGCCCAAGGTCATTCTGGCCATCCCCCTGGCTCTGGGCAGGCTGGGGAGGGCCAGGGACACAGAGCTCAGTGGGCAGAGGAAGTCCATGTGAGCTGCCCACCCCCAGGTTCCACATCAACCTGCGCTCTGGGAGTGACATCGCCTTCCACCTGAACCCCCGTTTCGATGAGAATGCCGTGGTCCGCAACACGCAGGTCAATGGCTCTTGGGGGTCTGAGGAGCGAAGGCTGTCAGGAAAAATGCCCTTCACCCGTGGCCAGAGCTTCTCGGTAAGCTGCGCTCAGAGGGGCTCTCACGGGGCCAACGGAGCAGGGGGCGGGGGCACTGGGGGCCCCTGGAACGAGATGGGCGCTGAGCCTCTAGGTGAGGGCTGGGCCCAGAAGAAGAGAAAGTGTTCAACCCATTGTTGTTATTATGTTACTATTTCCCTCCCACATATGGCAGGTAGGGGATCTGCTGTTTACAGGTGAGGAAACAGACTCACAATGCAGGTTACTTGCCTGAGGTCACACAGCCGATCAGCGCCAGATGGAACCCAAGAATGAGGGTCATTCCTCATTCACTCACTCACTCACTCACTCACTCACTCGGTCAGCAATCATTTCTCAGCTGTTCTGTCAGGGCCCACTTTGTGCAGGAAGTGCCCCAGGAGCGGGGGGACAGCCACAAAGCAGACAGACGAGGTCCTGGCCCCTCGGAGTTGACAGTTCAGGTGGGAGAGTTCAAGGACACAGATGTTGGACAGGTCCTTGCAGATGACAGCAGGTTCTCTGCAGAAGGCAACACAGAATAAGGGGACAGAATGAGCCCGGGGGCAGGGGCTGGGCTGCCTTAGATGGGGACAGCCCTCTGAGGAGGCCACTGAGCTGTTGAGACCTCAGTGGTAGAAGGAGCAGGCCTCGAAAATGTCTGCGGGGTGCATTCAGGCGGGCAGCGGAGGGAGCAGCTGTTATTGCAAAGGCAGAGAGTCATGGGTGTGGCTGGAGGCCAGGGGCTTTCCCGGAGACAGTGGGGACAGAGAGGGGTGGGTGGTGCGCTGGAGGCTCGGCTTCACAGAGAGCAGGTGTTTTCAGCCATGATTACGCAGTCTAATCACCTGGGGAGCTTGAAGAAAAATCAGTACCTGGCCCCTCTGCTGGCCAATGATGGGGTGAGCCTGGGCCTCCGTATTTTTAAATACACCCTGATACTCTTCACCCAGGGTTGAAAATGACTGATGTAGGGTCTTGAGGGCCATGGAAAGGAGTTTGGATTTTATTTATTTATTTTAAAAAGTTTTATTTATTTATTTTGTGAGGAAGATCAGCCCTGAGCTAACATCCATGCTAATCCTCCTCTATTTGCTGAGGAAGTCTGGCTCTGAGCTAACATCTATTGCCAATCCTCCTCTTTTTTTTTTCCCCCAAAGCCCCAGTAGACAGTTGTATGTCATAGTTGCATATCCTTATAGTTGCTGCATGCGGGACGCAGCCTCAGCATGGCTGGAGAAGCGGTACGTCAGCGCGCGCCTGGGATCCGAACCCGGGCCGCCAGTAGCAGAGTGCGCGCACTTAACCACTAAGCCACGGGGCCCTGGATTTTAATACAGTGTGTGGGTGTGTGTTTCAAACCAGAGGGCCATATACCTTGATTTATAGATAGCTGTGTGACTTTGAGCAAGGGACTTAACTGCGCTATGCCTCAGTTACCTCATACAAAAATGGGCTAACAATAACATCATCTCATAGAGATGTGAGAATGAAATGAAATCGTGTTTGTGACATGCTGAGGACAGGGTCTGGTGTGCAGTAAATGTGCGAGGGTCAGCTAGTGTGATGGGGATGATGACATTTTCACAGATGTGCTCTGACGGCCTCCTGGAGAATGTTTGGGGTGGAAAAGACAAGTTAGGAGGCTGCCACGCAGGAGTGCAGGCACGGAGCGCTCCTGTGTGCCGGGTACTAGGGACGTGGATGGTAGAAGCCAGCATTCCTGCCCCTGGAGGCTCAGGGTCCAGCTGGAGAATGAGGATGGGGGTGGGGGCCATGGCCTGAGGAGGCACCTGACTCGACTAGGAGGGCGTCAGGAGGTGGGGAAGGGAGGGAAGGCTCGCCTTCCTGGAGGGAGGGGGGAGAATCCTGTAGGGTGGTTAGAGTTATCCCTGTGGGCCAGGTGTGCAGAGTGGGGAGCAGAGGAGGAAGGGCATCCTGGGCGTTGGGAACAGAATATGCAAAAGTACAGGCAGGAGAGCACTCGGAGTGTTGAGTGAAGAATGAGTCCTTCAGAGTGGCTAGAGGGCAGGTGTGGGGCCTGCTTGACTAATGTTTGAGGAAGGCAGGAAGGAGGGAGGGAGACATGAGCCTGCATTTAGGGTTGAGGACTTTCCAAGTGGAGTGCAAATGACGTGGCCTCTCCGTCCAGGTGTGGATCCAGTGTGAAGGCCACTGCCTAAGGGTGGCTGTGAATGGTGGGCACCTGTGTGAATACCACCACCGCCTGAGGGACCTGCCCGCCATCAACAACCTGGAGGTGGCGGGTGACATCCACCTGACCCATGTGCGGACGTAGGCGGGATCCCTGCCCTGGGGACAGGGCTGGGGCATGTTGCTGTCTGGACTGCTCATCACCTCCACCTTCCCTGTCCCTGCCCCAGCCCTTCCCAGCCTGCCGAGGATCTCTGCTGGGGAGACCACGTCCTTGTCTGGCCCTGCTGAGGCTGCAGCCAGCCTGGAGTGGCGAGGGCAGCTGGCTGGGACTCCCTTCCTTGCTCGGGGCGGGACCTGGGGCTCCAGCTGCCCAAGTCCTACCATCCGAGGAGAGGGGTGGTCCGTGCAGGCTGAAGCCCTGTGGTCAGTCCCCTCGGCAGAAAGGGAGGTACTGGGCGTTCCCAAGCACCCAACCCAAGCCTACACCCCATCTGCCCCTCAACGACATTCCCACCCCACTCAGCTCCACCTCCGTCCCAGGCCACCAGCTGTGCCCTCCACGGGGGAGGTGGTGTCCTTGGCCTCTCCCCATTCTCCCACCTTCCGCCTCTCCCGCACCTGCACCCTCCCTTCCCCGCTCCAGGAAAGCTGCCCTGAGGACACCCCGCTGGTTTCCACCAACTGTCAGGACCTTCCCAGCAGGGGCTCTCCCCTTCCCAGTGTCCTTCAGGGAAAGAGAGAAAAATGCTTGTCGGCTCCCGTGTGCAGGATGATTGTGGCTCTTTTAATGTTTTTGGAGACATCTTGGAGTCTCTGGAATTGGGGAGGTCCTGGCTAAGAGGTCCCATTTTGATGGGGGGGTCCTGACATCCACACCTGCTCCCAGTGGGTCCCCCAAAACTCCACAAGGGTGCGGGAGAAGGCAGACCAGGCTCAGGCCTCTTGGGCAGGAATCTGTGACGCAGGAAGCTTGGGAACAGAGGGGAACCCGGGAAACAGCCCCATGCTCCCGAGACGGGCCAAGGGATGGGCCTGAGCCCGTGGGGGCCGAGGCAGGACCAGGAGGCCAGATGGCAGGGCCAGCTCCTCAGATCCGTGTGTCCCAGCGGAGGAGATGACAGTGGGCTCAGGAGAAGCTGACCCGTAAGAGAGGCCTGTTTGCGGGGTTCCACTGGCGGCCCCCGGCCTTAGTGGTGGAGTGTGGTGGGGAAAGTGGCTCGGTGTGTGGGGTTCTGCCAGTGCAGGGCCAGTGCAGGGGGCCAGGCTCTGGGCCCACAGGATGCTCACACATCCTGCCCCCTCCATCAAGAACCTAGGGCCTCGGGAACCAGGGTGGGGCTCAGGGCGCAGTCCTCAGAGCAGCAGCACCAGACACCCGGGAGCTTGTTAGAAATGCAGAAGCCTGGGCCCCGGGGCAGCCGTCCTGAATCAGCGTCTGCACTGTAACCAGACCCCAGGGGGTTTGTGTGACGGTACAGCGTGAGGGGCCCCGGGCTATGTGGCTGCATTCTTGACCACGTCCCGGGTGCACTGCTGGGACACTGGAGGTTGGCATGTCCTTCCCCTCATCTGAGGAGGAGCGGGGAGGGGGAAGTGGGCAGGGAGCCAATGACACAGAGGCCGAAGCTGAGCTGGGGGCCAGATTTTGCCAGACCCCCACTTCTCCCCTGGCTGAGTCCTTCCTGTTCTCACGGGAGAAGGGACATGGCTCTGTCCCCTGAGGAGGCTTCCCCAGGGAAGACGTGTGTCCTCACTCCCTGCCGAGTCCTGGACACGCAGCCCCATCTCACCTGCTTTCTCACCAGGTGCCAATGTTATTGCCCAAACCCTCACGACACAGGCAGCCCCAGAGCAAACACAGTGACTTCCTAGGACAGGGCTGTGGCCCAGACCCTCGCTGGAGAACGGGCCTCGTGGGGGCGCGGCACCTCCATGGCCCCGTGTGAGACGCCTCCTGCGGGAGGGTCAGCTCAGCCCCACAGGTTAGCCTGTGTTCCCGCCCCCGTCCCACGCTGTCACATGTGCACGCAGCTCTGCATGCTGCCCCCACGTGGTGGCATCTCAGAGAAGCAGCGTGGCCACACTGCAATGTCCCATTGTGGGGGATTTATGTCCAGATGTGGCCTCCACGAATCCCCAGTGCTATATTATTTAGGGCTGCTTTCTCTACCAAACACCCGCATAGACAATGTGGTTAAAATAAAATGCATTTCTTATAAATATCTCCATGGAGGAGTTATACGGGGAAGGCCCAAGTGCCGGTTGGGAGCTGACTGGGGTTTGTTTTATTTAAATACAGAGACATAAATAACTGTCCATGGGGCAGGAAATAGAGAGTGGTGCGACACCGCCTCCTGGTGGTCAATCCAAGTGGTGCAATCAGAAGCCAGTTCCATCCTCACCCACTGGCTGCGACCCGCACTGCAGATTTCTTCTCCAAGGAACGAGGGAGGCCCCTACTCTCCATTACCCAGGGAAGAGTGGAATCAAGGGAGACAAGAGGTTCCTCTCCGTCCAGGCTGCTACTTGGCAGCAGGTTATGTAAACAGTTGGGGGGAAGGAGATGGGGAAATAAGATGTGAGGCTTGGGGCTATAATTTCCCTCCATCTCTCGAGGCCATAATCCAGAGTTGGCTCCGTCATTAAATCCTGTGGCGGCAGCTTTAACTGTTCCTGTCGGCTGATGGCGCTCTGGGATCGCTGGGCTGCCCAGTGGCCCCATCCTTTTTCAGCCTGTGGGGAACCACAGCACCAAAGATGTCTTCATGGTAGCGCTTCTGGCTCTTTAAGGGAAAACAGAGACCAACGTGTCAGCTCTGCTGGTCCAGCCGCCTCTCATTCATCAGGTGCAGCCTGACGAGGCCCTGGGGTTCCCCGCTTCCCTGTCACACGTACACTCAGGAGCCATTTCCCTTCCCACCGCCGTGCTTAGATTATGCTTGACCTCGCCTGGGCTCTTTCCACCCGCCATCAGCGCCTGCTCTGATGGTGTGGACCGTCTAAACATCTCCCCAGGCTCCATGACAGACAGTAAAGCCTGCCTAGTGTTTGTCCCATCAGATGCTCCAGGTGATGTGGGCTCTGAGATCAATATGTTTGGGAGATGCTGCGTACTTGCTCCCAGGCTTGAAGTGTCATGTTAGAGGCTCTGACAAGTCTTGTCGTAAACAAGACGTTTGCCTCTGTTGAGCTGAGCAACCAGACGGGGACGCACACTCAGGCCTCTCACTGCCCGTCCAGCTCTGACCTCCAGCCGCCTCTAGGATTCCGTTGGGTCCAGGACTGTTCTGAGCCAGACTTTCGAGTCCCGGCTCCCTGGCCCGTGCCCTTGACCTCCATCCCTAGCCCACACACCAGGCGCTCTGCCTTAAACTGGAAGAAATAGTCCTCGACCTGCTCCTCACTCAGGCTCAGCTTGGCAGCCACCAGCTGCTTCAGGGTGTGGGCCACTTCCGGGCCATGCGCGCGTCCCCGCAGACACAGAGGTGGCCGTGCTCCTCATGGAGCACGCGGAGCACCTCACCAGCCATCTGCTGCCGCAGGATGTCTTGAACGTAGACCTGAAACCAGAGGAGACGGTGGATCCGGGCCCTGCTGCGGGGGGCGAAGCTTGTAGTCAGGCCTGCTGGCCACAGGGAGGCGGGCAGGGTGAGCACCGTCCCATCCAGGACCTCACAGGGGACCAGGCTTGGGATGAGGAAGTACAGGCCTGGGCTGGGGCTGGAGAGATGGACATTGGCCACGAGAAGCTGACCATCCAGTGGGGCTCCTGGCCTTACTCACAATTCACCATGCTTCAAAGAGGCATCACTCCAGCCACTTCCCCTGCCCAGTGAGGCCCAACTGCCTGCTCCCCACAGAGGGGGGCCTCTCGGTGCAGACAGTCTGTGGGATCCCCACTGTCATTCAGAACAGGGCACAGAGCCCTGGGCTCCCCGGTTACACAGGAGTCAGGATCCATCGGGGACTCTCTGCTCTTGTTTCACACAAGATGCCCAGTGACCCCAGCAATGGCATGGAGCTCTGGGTCGGGGAGGAGCTCTGATGGGGCAAGTTCACAAGGGCTGAGCCAAGAGTCTGTCCTGACTCCCCAGGCTCCTGGGGCAAAGTGCCCCCCAGAGCAGCAGAGGCCGTCATTGGCTGTGTCTGAGCAGCCACTTCCCTCCAGCCTTGCTGTGCTTGAGCATGAAGCCGGCCTGGACCAGCTCTCCCCAGGCAGCCATGTATCCCGGGAGGAGGACCTTCAGGGGCCTGGGCACTGGGGATTGAACCACCAGGTGACCCTGACTTAGTCCTGACTGTCTCGGAGCCTGTCTCTTCTCCTGGAAGAGTGAACATAATATCTAACCTCTTCCCCTTTAGAGCTGAGGAGACGAAGGCTCAGAGAGGCGAGGGGCTTGTTGGGAGCCAGGGCACCCCCTATAGCCTTTGCTTTGAATGCTCCCCTCACTGCGTGGGCAGCTGCTGCATTTACCTTGGGCTGGCCAGGCAGGCGAGAATAGGCCGTGTGCACCGCATGCAGCACCCCCTTCTGGGCCACCTCCAGCATCTCCTCCCGAGAGAGGTGGTCCTCATCTGGGTGGCAGCACCCGAACACCAGGGTCATGCGGCCACCTTGGAGCCCTGCAAGACCCAGTGGGCTGCAGTTACCAGGGTGGCCACCAGAGGGCCGGCCCCGGCTCGAGGCCTGAGGAGCTGGATGCCCAACTTGAAAATTCATTTCATCCCCACAAGCATCTGATCTAGTATTGTCCCCACTTTACAAATGAGGAAACTGAGCCCAGGGCGTTCAGATCACTCATCCACACAGGCTGAGGGAAACTTGGGAGAGGGGCCAGGAAATGTTTGTGGGGCGGTGGCACAACTCTCCCACAGCTCCAGTTCTGCTCCCAGGCAGGTGCTGGCCAAGGGTGCCCCCTCCCCAGGCCCCGCAAACCCTCCAGCTGTACCTTTGTGCTTGGTGTCACGGAGCCGCTGCTGCCAGAAACTGCGGAAGGGGGCGATGCCCGTGCCAGGCCCGATGAGGATGCAAGGATGGGAGGGGTCCTCGGGGAGCTGAAAGCCGCTGGCACTGAAGGGGAGAGAGGAGAGAGGCCCCAGTCCTCAGACACCCTGGCCTGATGCACAGGCAGGACAGGGGCTGGGGAGCTGGGGGTGTGGTTGGGGGTGGTGGTGTTGGGAGGTAGAGAGGACCATGAGCTCAAATCAGATTTCCCCAGTCCTGCACACTGTTTCATTCCCCTGTCCACCCACATGGTCACCTCACCCTAGGGCCTTGTGAGAAAGGGCTGAGCCTCATTGTTCTCTGAGCCCCACCAGCACTGCATCTCTATCCCTGCTAGAGACTTGGCCACGCTCTCTAGCAGGGGATAGAATGGAGAGGCCCAGTGTGAGCCCAATGCCTTCTTCATGGGAAAGGGGCTCAGAGCGGCACCTAAACCCCAGATCCCTCCCGTTCAACCCAGAACTCCCTTGGGCCAGTGGGCCCACCATGGACAGAGTGTGAGGGGCGCTTACCTTCGCACAAAGCAGGGCACCAGGCCTTGGGGCTTCAGGCTGCTGAGCCATGTGCTGCAGACACCCTGGGGCAGGGGACCCTGGCCATCTGCAAGGACAGTACAGACCTGACCAACATCGCCCCCTAGCGCCTGTGCGGGGCCGTCCCAGCGCCTCCTCCAACAGCCCGCTCAGGTGCTCTGCCAGCTTTACTGAGGGGCTGATTTTCTGAGATCCACCCTCTATACACCCAGAGCTGGTGAAAGCTGGAAGGGACTTAGAGAGTGTGCAAGTCTCTCCTGTCTCCACTACAGAAACCGAGTCTCGGAGAGGAAAAGTGACTTGTACAAGGTCACTCAGGCAGCAGTAGAGTCAGGTCACAGCTCAGCTTCCCTGACTCCTACTCCGATGCTGCCTCTAAGAGTTTCTCCAGGGACCCGTCCAGCCCACCACTCAGCTCCGATGACAGTAGCATAAAGTGGCCCCTCAGGGTGGCCACAGTCACTGCCCCAGAGTGTCTCCATGAGTATAGCCCTTGCTGGTAGGAACTCTGGGTGATGGACAACCTCCTGAGCATTCCAGTCCTCTGCGGTGTCTCTCTGTCTCCCCCAGTGGCCCCTCCTGGGCTTGTGGAAACCCCACCTTTCTCTGGGTTACATTCTCTTCCCAATGGCCCAGTATTAAAGGGGACCTCCCACCAACTTGAGAAGTCCCTTTGGTTTTCCTCTGCATGGAATCTTGCTCTCACAGGATGTGCCTGCCTGTCTTCTCCTGGTTTGAGGATGAAGATTTGGCCTGGGCAGATGTTCTCTGGCAGAGCAAATAGAGTCTCTGCCCAGGTTTTAGAAAGTTCTCAGTGCGCCGAGGGCTGTTAGGAGTGGGCCAGCTTCCAGCTTTGCCAACGCAGGCAACACTCAGTTACAGAGGGCAAGGCAGGGGCACAGCTCATCCAGCAGAGGAGTCAACCCTACTGGATAAGGTTTGGACCTTCTAGCCAATGTGAGCCCATCCCCCATCCTCTGCTCTTACAGCCCCTGTGCTCTCCTTCTTAGCACCCACATAATAACAATCATGTATTTCCATGCTCTCTCTTCGTTGCCCCTTCTGGATGGGAAGCTCCATGAAGTCAAGGGCTACATGTACTGTATTTCCACACCCACTGTGGTGCCAAGCACAGAGACAGATGAAATAGATCATCACTGAGTGAGTGAGTGAACAATCCAGGCGGAATCATCCCTGTGTTCAGCTGGACTCTCAGGAAGATGAAGACTCATTGGGCTCCCACTAAGGACTGGGTGCTTTCCACATCCGATCTCACTAAATCGTCCCAACAGTAGTACAATAGCAGAGTGGAGTGGGGTGGTTAAGAACTTGGACTCAGCGGTCAGACTCCTTGGGTCTGAATCTCAGTTATTACTTGCTAACAGTGTGATTTTAAGCAACTGGCTTAACCTCTTTGTGCCTCAGTTTCCTCACCTTAAAATGCACACAGTACCCATCTCACATGGTTACCAATAATACACTTACAAAGGGGTCAGCTCAGTGCTTGCTTCATAGTCATCTCTCCCACACACCTCCTCTTGCTGTTAACAACTCTGGAAGGTGGGTGTTTAACTGATGAGGAGAATGAAGCTCAGAGATGTTGAACAGCTGGCTGTAAATACCAGAGTTGGACGCCCCAGAGCCCCAGCCCCAGCCTTACCTCGGGTGCGGTACGTGAGCACGGCCACAGTGAGGTGGACCTCCGTGGGTGTGCGGTCCCGGGAGGAGCTGATGGAGTAGTCCTGGGGTTTCAGAATAGGGAGCTGGGAGAGCAGGAAGCCAGCAGACACCCGCAGGGACGGGAACTCCTCCAGCACCTCCAGGAAGGTGGGGCTGTTGGTGAACTTCCACTTGCTGTACTGCGAGGGCTGAAAGCCAAGAGCAGTGTGAGCCACTCAGGGTGCCTGCCCCACACCAGGAAGAGGCTGTCACAGCGTGGTATTCATTCATTCCTTTATTCATTCCCTCCCTCAACAGACACTTTGAAGTACTGGGCGCTGTCCAGGGTGCTGAGACGACTAAGCTGGAGAGGAAACAGTTCCTGTCCTGGAGGAACTCAGGCCAGCGAGTGGCACTTATCTGCCTTGTGTGCTTAGGACTTCACTGTCAGCAACTTGTGGGCAGGAGTCAAAACTTTAATGTAATCTCGCTGGGGGGCAGGGCTTTGAAATCATACAGACCTGGGTTCAAATCTTGACTGGATGCCTTTACTAGATGTGGATCTTGTCCCAATTACTTAACCATTGTGAGATGAGGATGGTATACCCTACCTCGTGGGGATGCTGTGGGAATTAAATGAGAAAACATGTGCCAAGTTAGTACAGTGCAGCCACAGAATAATGGCAGTGGAGGTAACTGGAATCTAGATAATTAGCATAATGATGATGGTAATAATGACATGGAACACCTTTTGCAAAGACTTGGGCCTGGAACATGGCAGGTGAGTTAATGCATTCTCTCATTAATTTATTAATCCAACTACCCATCTGTCACTATGACCATTTATCCATTCATCCGCACCATCCATCCTCTAACACCTCCTGTGTTTCAGGCTTGTTCCAGGTTTGGGGAATACAAAAACAGACAAGACATAGTGGCTCTCCTTTTCTAGCCAATTTCTGAAGAAGCACTTTGCTTGTATCCTGCAGACATTCAGAAAAATTCAGTTCACTCAACGCAACTGTGTCCTAGAGATGGGATGCAAGAGGATGGCTGATGTCCGATCGGCCTTTGAAAAGTCTCACTTTGGGAAGCTGGGGTGGATCCCCCTTGGAGGTGAAAGACCACTCTGTGCTCTGGCGCTCCCCAACTCTGGGACCCGGTCCCACCTCATCACCCAGCCCCGACCTTCACCTGGCACAGGGTCTCCAGCCTCTGCCTCTCGGCCTCTTTCGTACCAGCTGGGCCAGCTTTCAGAGCAGCATCTGGGTTGGGGGGGTGGTGATGTCCAGGAAGTAGGTGAGGACCTGGCTGAGTGAGCAGCGGGGCAGCCGCTTGTCCTTGACACAGTAGCTCCCTGGATAGAGAAGGAAGAAATCAGGATGGAAAATAAAGCCCCACTGAGGCCTCTGGGGCAGAACCTTCCACCTTCCCACTGCAGGGGAGAGAGGACAGTGAAGTTCTGGCTCCAGGAAGAGCCAAAGGGTGCATGTGCTCAACTCATGTTTGGGAAGGTGGTGCCCAGAGATAGGGCTGCCAGGGAAGGCTGATCAACAGCCCTCCAAAGGGCACCCAAGTTGACATGATCCTGTAAAACTAACTATGCACCAGAGTCCAGTCCCTCTCGGGCCCAGATCTGAACTTTAGCAGGTGAACTTCAGACTCACAGTGACTAAATTCACCAAAGACTGATGTACACCCCAGAGGCCAGGTGTTCATTTAGAGAAAAGCCCATGACTGCAAATCCCTGTGTGCCAAACCAAGAGGTGCCAGGTGAGCAGCAAATCAGCCCAAGAGAGGTGACAAGTCTCAAGGAGTCCCAAGAGGCAGTGTGCAGGGTGGTACCAGCATTGACCCTGGGGTCAGTGGACGTGGTTTCAAACTCTGGCTCCCCACTTACTAGCTGGGTGACTGAACCCTCTAAGCCCTGGGTTCCACCTCTGCGAAAAGGAATTGATAACAAGACCTACGTCTCTGGGCTTATGGGAGCATTGATTCAAATATGTATATGTAATGGTACAGGGTCTGGTACACATTTGCTCAGTAAATAGTAGGTAAAAGTATTAGTATTATGCTATTTCATCTAGACCCAAGGCCTGATGAACCACATCTGTCTCCCTACAGTCATGAGGACATCCCTGTCCCCTTGTCCCCAAGTTTCAGGCTCTCTCACGTTCTCCTGGACAGTGGGGGACAATGCCAGACTTTGCTTCTCTCACTCCACTTTCCTATTTTGGCCACTCCCTTTAGGGGGACACAGTCTTTGGAGGTGTCATTATCACTGAGGAAGCCAAGGCCAGGGAGCTATTCCTTTGGGCTGGGGGCCGTGATCGCTGATTTCATGAGTTCATCTCTCCTGGGGCCTGTCACCCCTGTGCTGTGCTCGCCCTGTTGACTGAGAGCGTCACCTCAGCACAGGAAGGGGTGCTCTGGACCCTCCCTGGGACAGCATCTTCTCCCCGGTGAGGATGGCCAGGAGGAGCCACGCTCTCCTGGTCACCTGTGGCCTGTCCCTGCCCATTGTCCAGGGAAGCAGGGGTAAATGAGACCCTCGGTGGTGAAGCAGTGTGAAATTAGACACCACGAAATGCAAGGAGGTTATGAATTCTGGGATCCAAGGAGACTCTCAGCGTGTGCTAGACCCCTTCTCTGACTCTGGACAAATTCTCATTAGCCTGTGGGAAATATAAATTCCTCTACTCCTGCATTTATTTGGTGCCAGGAATTGTGAAGCTGGCACGTATGTCTGCTCATTTGTTCTTCACAACAACCCTACAAGCAAGGCTCTGTTGTCTCTATTTTAGAGACAGAGAAAGAAAGCCTTGAAAGGTGAACTCCTATGTCCAAGGTCACACAGCTAGTAAGTGATGGCTCAGGGACTTGAACCCTCAAAGCTCACCCTTTCTACACTGTTTCCACATTTCTCTATTCCGTCACCAAGCAAGCCGCACACACACGCCTATTGCAGGGACTAAAGACACAATGCATGTAAAATGCTGGCATGTAGTAATCACCCAACAAATGCTAGCTGCTCCTCTTATTATGATAACACTTACGAATATTCTTGCGTCTGCCTCCTGTACTAGGTGGTGAGCTTTCTGAGGGCAGACACTGAGTCTCACTCCTCTTTGTCGCCCAGGACCTGCCAGGTGTATAGATGTGACAGTTAAAATTTCGAAGGAAAATAAATGAATCAGTCTATCGACAAAAAAGTGGTTAGTGAACAGCAGGATGAACGGAAAAAGAGTCCCCAGGCTCTGGTGCTGGGCAGATCGTCCCAAAGAAGCGGCCCTTCTTGCTGGCCTGCCAGCCGGGCGAGGACTGTTTGCAAGGCTGCTTTAGTGCGGGCTTGGGTGGCCCGCCCACTCAGCAGGAAGGACAGGGTTAGCTGCCCCAGCACAGGCCCGGGCCCAGTCTGTCAGCCAGGTGGGGGATATGCAGGAGGATGCGGGGCCACCTCAGCGGAGGCTCCGTGCAGAGGGCTCACCGCTCTCGTCGAGGGTCTGCAGGCACACGGGTTGGTGGGGTGCAGGGCCATCCACCACTCGCTCTAAGATGCCTTGGACCAGAGCTGGCTGGTTGCCTGGGAAAACCCCAAGGTGCTCCCCTGGCAGGTAGCTCAGCCCTCGGCTGGCCTCAATGGAGAGTTCCACCAGGAGGGTGGTGCGGCTGGAGAAGGAAAAAGAAGCCTCTGGTGAACGCCAGCAGGATTTCCTCCAGAGCTCCCTGATGGGTGGGCCAGTTTCCCTAGGAAATGTGCCCTCCTTTCATCTTCCTGCCTGGTTCCATGAGCACAGGTCGCCAGCGTCCCCTGACGCTGGGGCGCTCAAGAGGGCCCTGGGGCTGATCAGGCCTGTGGCTTCCCTGTGGGGAGAGGATGGGCCGCACCCCTCCCTGTGCAGCCCTCTGAGCCCCCGAGGGCTTGCCCACAGACTCTGCCTAAAGAGAGCATCCCGCTGGGAGATACGTGGGCGTTGGGACAAACCTTTCCCTGTCCCCAGCACAAATCCAGTTACTAAAACAAAGCCCAGTTTTCCTAATGAATGGGGGAGGGCAGCGCAGATAAACAAAACCTGTGGAGAGTTCACAACACTTGCCTCTCCTGGCGGGGAAAGGTTCTTCCCTGCCAAACCTTTCCTGAAAGTTGTGAACAAAGAGCCAAATGGGTTGAATTTCTCTTGCTTTCCCCTTGTAGTGAAAGGGTTAAGGGACAAGGGACAGGAAGTGAAGCAGGTGCCGAGGTCCCAAGCTGGGAAACTGGCCCGTGGTTAGTGGAGACCAGACACAAGGGTGCTGGTGGCCACAGGGGTTACCAGTCAAGCTGGCCCTACTGATGCATCGTTGCTAATGCCAGCGGACTCCTCTCTCCCTTCCTTTCAAAGACTGGCTTGCTCTGTTCTTTCCTTCATTCAAATAAAATCTGGGCCTGAGTGAAGGTGGGTTCGGTTAGAGATTAACTAGAGCACTTTGAGCTCCTGGTGAGAGTCCCTTTGTCCTACCTCTAATCTAAGCTCCTGATTGTCTGAGAAAGCAGTAGGCATGGGACCGGCCCGGTGGCACAAGTGGTTAAGTGCATGCGTTCCCCTTTGGCAGCCTGGGGTTCACGGGTTCGGATCCCAGGCGTGCACTGACGCACTGTTTGTCACGCCATGCTGTGGTGGCGTCCCATATAAAGTAGAGGAAGATGGGCACAGATGTTAGCTCAGGGCCAATCTTCCTCAGCAAGGGAAAAGAAGGAGGATCATCATCGGATGTTAGCTCAGGGCTGATCTCCCTCACAAAAAAAATAAAGAAAGAAAAGAAAAGAAAAAAAGAAAGCAGTAGGCAGAGGGAGCATTTGGCAGACAACGGCTCTGCATTTGACCCGTTGTTTCACATCTAAAGTTTCCTAGTTACCTCTGTGCCCTGAAACCTGATCTTTACCTGCTCTTCCATTCAAGCAGGTCCATGGCCTCTGCAGGAGCAGATGGGTCCAGATTTGGACACAAGAGGGAGGAACTTCCCCAGGATTTGTTGGGGGCTGGGGGCGGTGCTGGCAGGTGTTATAGGCTGGTCTGTGGAGAAAAAGGGAGGAAAATGTCAACCCAAATAATCAATTACCAATTTACAGATAATAAGTTAGAGTGATATTTATTGAGCCTAATGTGAGGACTAGTCCGGAAGCGATCCCTTCCCCAGGGAAGAAAGCACTGAGGGGAAGCGTGGTTTATAGCCTGGTTACCATGTCAGAACAAAGAACATACATCAAGCATGACAGGAATACAGTTTTTTTCCCAAAGTCACAAGGAGATATTTTGCTGCAGTTTGGCACATACACAGCAGGTCAACTTGACCTTGGTTCCGGGAAAAAAAGCTAATCTTAAAAGAAGTACTCATATCAGCATCAGAGAGAGGCAGACATTCATCCCTATCTTGAAAGAGTGGACTCTTTCTTTCCTTTGGGAAATGTTGGGAGCAGGTGTACAATGCATGTTTGCTGGGCCATAAGTCACGCTGCTCTGGGAAAAACAAGCTTTAGGCCGAATCAGATTTAAACTAGAACAGCTTCCCCACATGCCTCAGTGTGTGAAAACTTCTTAATATTCTTATTCTTTTTATCATTTTTCCTCTTATGATCAATAATCTTTTGATGGAAAGCATTGATGATCAAGTTACTGTCCCTGGTGCAAGGGTGGTTGCTGCCTGCCCTGGGTCCCTCACGCCCCTTGGAGCTGGGCCTTTATTTTGTGGATTTACCCAGTTATCCAGGTTGGGCAGAAAAGAGTAGAGAGTGTCAGAATTGAGTCGAATTCTCAGACACTCTGCTTGCATCCGAGAACTGCTTCTTGGTGTGGGGAAGCCTACACACACAGACACACGTGCGCACGCACGCGCGCACACACACACACACACACACACGTTGGAATCGGGTCCAGGAACTTTTGCAGCCGTGCAAGGTGCTTTACCTGTGATCTCTCATTTCATATCAGAAAAATGATGGGAGACAAGTATTACCCCCATTTACAGAAGGAGAAACGGGGGGTCACTGAGGTGAAGTGACCTGCTCGGGGTCATCCAACCAGCAAGGGAGGAGCTTGGATTTGAAGCCACGTCTGGCTGATTCCCACAGTGTGTGCTCTTGCTTCACACCTGGGCTCCCCTATGAGATGATGCTCCACTCCGTGGAAAATACTGTTTCATTCCACATCACATTCTTCTCAGGGGTCCCTGGATACAAAAGAGAAAGGACTCATTGTTCTTTCCTGCTCAGCAGATCAGCCCCCACCCCCGTTCCCTGCCACTCCTCTGGAATGGGCCATGGATGAGAGGGTGTTGACAGGACCCAAAGCTGAGCCTGACACTCTGGGCCTCCCACTCCCCAGGTACAGAAAATATTGATCAAAAATGAAACCGAAGAGGGCCGGCCCAGTGGCGTAGTGGTTAAGTCTGCAGGCCCCACGTCAACAGCCTGGGGTTCCCAGGTTCGGATCCCAGGTGCAAACCTACACATCACTCATTAAGCCATGCTGTGGAGGCATCCCAAATACAAAATAGAGGAAGATTGGCACAGACATTAGCTCAGGGACAATCTTCCTAAAGCAAAAAGAGGAAGATTGGGAACAGATGTTAGCTCAGAGCCAATCTTCCTCACCAAAAAAAAAAAAAAAAGAAAGAAAAAGAAAAAGAAACCTAAAGACCAGTTCTGGCAGAGCCCTCCTTACTCCTGGGGGCACAAAGAACAGAGCCACGTGGGCATATGTTCCCTGTGACATGCTGGGTCCCATGAAATGAGGCACATCCCATGAGAAGCCATCTGAGAAGTGAGGCAGAGTGGTGCAGTGGTTAGTGGAAGAGGCTCCATTGCTGTACTGCCTAGGATGAGTCCCAGCTCTGATACTTTCTAGCTGTGTGACCTTTGGGAATCTGCTTCACCTCTCTGTACCTTCCTTTCTTCCCAGATAGAAGAGGCATAATTAATTGCACTCACTTGATAAAGCTGGTGGAGGATTAAATGTAAGGCACTCAGAATGATGCCTAGCACATAATCAACACCATATAGGTATTAACTTAGAAACAATCTCTGAGCACTCCCTCCTCTATGCCCATCTAGCTCCCAGCTGTACATATGTCTTAAGCCGTGGGAATACGAGCTACTCAAGGCAGGGACTGTGCCCAAGTCCTTACTGTACCCCAGTGCCCAGGAGGGGCCCTGCCCTTGTTTATTGACTGTGGCCATCACTGGATTTTCCAAATATTTCAGGTCCCACATGCTATTCCAGATTCTTGATGCTCCCCATCAGAAGGTAAAGTCTCTTCTCTCCTCTTGAACCTGGGTGGGGCATTTGGGATTGCCTCAACAAATAGAGTGTGGTAGAAATGATGCAGCATGACTTGTGAGACTGGGTTATAAAAGAGATACAACTCCCACCTGGCTCCTGCTCTCTAGGATGCTCACCCTTGGGATCCAGCCACCATATTGTGAGGAAGCCCAAGCCATGTGGACAGTCCAGTTGTTGGTGTTCAGGCCAGTAGCACCAGCCAAATTCTCAGCCAACGGCCAGCGTGGACTAACTGGCAGACGTGTGAGTGAAGGAGGCCTCAGATGATTCCAGCCCCACCCTCTGAGCCATTCCAACCGACGCTGAGTGGAGCAGAGATGAGCTCTCCCCACCCAGCCCTGCCCAAGTTCAGGTTTGGGAGCCAGATAAGTGTTGTCATTGTTTTAAGCTGCTAAGTTTTAGTATAATTGTTATGAAGCAAGAGGTAACCAGAACAAGGACTAGATGAATCTACCCTGGTGGGCTCAGCTCAGCAGCTCAGCAGCTGGTTGCTGGTTGCTCAGGCAGCTGCCTCAGGGGGTCTCTTCAATCTACACCCAAATGGAGGGTGGGGGCTGCTGGGGGTGGGGGAGCACACAGACCTAGGTGCCAGGCTGAGCTGGTTTTTATCTGGTTCTGCTGCTCATTACATGCGTGGCCCTGGGCACTTCTCTCATCCTTAGAGTCATCAATTATTCAACCTGGGGACAGCTGCCAGGAGCTTGACCAGGGATGACAGATGTAAAATCTCTGGCCAGGAGCCAGGCAGAGAGCAATCTGGTTTTAGTAAACTGGTTTCTTTCCTGGAGAGTGTTCACGGTGAACCAAAGAGGAATTTTGTTTCCTGAAAGCACAGAGCGGGGAAAGAAGGAAGAATGGGGAGCAGCCAAGAGGGAGGGCGTGGGCTAGGGCCAAACCAGGTTTCATGGCCGCCTGGCAAACACTAGTGGCTGCTAGCCCGTCCATCATCCCATCCTCCCAGCTGGTTTAGGAACTGAATCCAGAGGAGGGTTCACTGAGAAGCTTGAACTTCAGGGCCCTTCACTGCATGGGCGATGGGTCTGCATGGTCTTAGGTGTCTGTAACGTTTGCAAAAGTTAAGACGTGGTAAATGAACTGATTAACCCTACTGTCTCCTTCCCCTCCATCACTCTTCCTCTTGAGTCTGGTAGTGTTGGAGAGGCCATATGTATTTTGGGGATCTGGCTAAGGAGGAGTTGAGTTAGGCATACATTTATTCCAGGTTCAATGAGACATGTTTATGTGGTTGACAGCCACTTCCATGAGTAATTCAGCTATTCCCAACTGTTCCAGCTTAGAACTGGCTCCTGGAAGCTTCCTCCTGCTCATTGTGTCACCTCCCTGGGTCCAGATGCAAAGATGCAGGGCCAGAGGTGCGTCATGAAGGAACGTGTCCCATGTTGTGTGGTACCCAAAGTACGCGGGCAGCAGAGAAGAAGCAAGCCATTGGAAACACAGAGTGATCTTCTACTCCTCTATAGAAAATATGTCAGATCTTCATCACATGAAGAAGCAAAGAGTATGTAGGCAAAAAACTAGGAAAGTATTCTAGCGCCAGGAAATTAATGAATAAAAATATTATTTTTCTGGATATTATAGTGTTTGGGGTATCTGTCAACTGCTATGGTCTGAATGTTTGTGTCCCCCCAAAATTCATATGACCGCCATCACCCAGTTCACTCACCATTAGTTTTTATTTATGGAAGTGGTAGTGGTTTTCATTTATGGTCATGGCACAAAGTTTGCTTCTAAAATAAATGCATCGTAGCTTATTTAAAGGAAATTGGGAAGGAAGGCTGGTCTCAGGCTGGTCCCACGAGGACTAAAGGCAGGGGCGGCTGTGTGTCTGGCTAATTAAGTGATAAGACACTAATCCTTTGCACGTCTGGAACTAAAGCTTTGCTCACATGTGCTCCCCGCTGAGGAAGTGTGGCCAAACAGTGACTCGGAGTGTGCTCGATGCCACGGAGCTACACGCTCTGCCACTCCTTGTCCTGCCATCCATGGAAGGGACACCACGGATCTTCAAGACTCAGCCCAAGGGCCACCTCCTCTCTGAACTCCATCCTGGCCTCATCACCCACAGGTAAGACACGTGAAAACACAGATATAATTGATGGAGTGCTCTCTCTGCCAGGCATTGACTTAAGTGCCTTAGCTCCTTTCATCCTCACAGCAACCTTATGAAATATGGCCTGTGATTAGCTCCATTTTACAGATGAGGAAATTGAGGCTTAGAGAGTTCAAGTAACCTGCCTGGCTTCCCCAGCTGCTGTGCCCACTGGAAGCTGAATACACTTCCTTCATAGCACGTTCGTGCATTTAATAATTGGCATCACTACCAACTCTAATGATTTTTGCACCTTTGGAGGAAATGACAATGGAGGAAATGACAATGTCCTCTTGGTCTGTGGTCCCCAGAGCCAAGCCCAGGGCCAGGCATCCAGCAGGTGCTCAGTAAATGCTTGTGAATGAAGTGCTCATCTGTGCTTCTTCAAGAGAGTTTCTCTTTCCTCTCCCACCAGAAGCCCCTGGGCTCAGAGGTGGACTTGGGCAGGTCAACGAGGCTCAGGCTGCAGCAACCTGTGTATATGGTCATCTACTTTTGGAAAAAAGACACTTTTTTCTTA